GAGATCATAAACACAAGTTCAATTTGTCATGGATGTCGTTAAAAGCATTATAAGCATTGCTGATATTTTTGTTTGTTGTTTGTAGATAAAAATGATGATGGCAAAAATCAGGAATGTCATGTGAAAATTTAAATATTTTGCAGTAAAAATAGTTAATTTAATTAATTGATAATGGGGAAGGCACATATAAGCTTTTTGCTTCGGCCTTCTCCTTTTGAGCCTTTTTTTGTGTGTCTTTCTTGAATTATTTGTGCATGTGATTGTGTATTGTCAAACTGCTCAAATAAAAATACTACTACTACTACTACTACTATATTTATATAATGTGCGACTTCACTATTAAAAATGATTATGCTGTGTACAAGTGTTTTTGGTTGATCTAACGTCAGGCATATCAAAGATTATTTTTCTCTACATGTGGCACTTGTAGACACTTCACCCACATTGCCCAGAATGAGTCAGGTGTGTGTTTGTGAATGGTTGGTGGTGGTCGGAGGGGCCGATGGCACATACTGGTTACCTCTCTTCTGTCAGTGTGCCCCAGGGCAGCTGTGGCTACAGTAGCAGTTTATCACCACTGTGTATGGAGTGAATGAATAATGTCATGTGAAGCGTCTATGAGTGTTTAAAAAAGCACTACATATAAAACCCTTGCATTATTATTATTATTATGATTATTATAAGATGATAATTTTTGTGGGATCAATTGAATATCAGGAGACGGAATCTCCCAAAAAAGAAAATCTCAATTAGATTTATTCTAGAGCTACATCCCACCGCCCATGTGTAACTTTCCTTGTGTACCTGCTTGTTTCATGCTTGGATCTGCCTTATATCTTTGTGTATCTCTGCCCATAAACCTGCTTATTCCATGCCTTATATCTGTGACTAACTCTCTTTGTGGACCTTTGTTTATATCTGTGTAACACTAACCATGGACTTGCCTTATATATACAGTATGTGTAACTCTGCTAATGGACCTGCTTTATATCTGTCTTTAACGCTCTTCATGGATCTATATCTGTGTGTAACTCTGCTTGTGGATCTGCGTGTTCCATGTCTTACGTCCGTGACTTTAACCGTTTTTATTTTTCAATTCCGTGTGTAACTCTCCTCATGGGCCTGCTTGCCTCAAACGTCCCACAGTTGGGCACGCCTCACAGCTCAGATCTGTTGAGCGGGGAGCTTGCCGACAGCAAAAAGCGAGCAATAACAACACTGAATAATTCCAGATATAGTTTAATGCCATACTGTGAAACATTCAAGGCAAAGCAAAGACTGAAGCGGCCGATCACAGCAGAGCTCCACTGTTCTAACCAAGCAGTCTATTAGTATAAAGAATATGTGAATACAAGCCACCGCTAAGCATTACAAAAGCACACGTCTCCATTTTCACTCTTCGCTTTGCAGGAGGGAAAGTATATTCACAAAGAAATAATTGCATTGGCAAACCATTTGGTAAAGTAAAAAAAACATGGAAAAAACAATTGTAATCTTTTCTTGTCTTTTGTAAACAGAAAGATGTGATCACAGTAGTCTTAGATCTAGATTTAGTCTGAATGAGCGATGTTGAGGTTTGTAATGGCACTGTGACTAATGTGGGGAGCTTTTGTTTTCATAAATTGGTGAACGGAATCCAAAAAGCGAGGGATGGATCACTACTTTTTCAATCATTATAACTGGAATATTTTATGTCAATTAGAGACAATATCAACCCCAAAAGTGACCATAGAAAATACCCACCTAAGAATATTTACATACTGTAGAATTACTTTAGATGAGATCTTGTTCTGTAATTAAAAAAACTAAAATGCACAATAAATGTGTGTGCATATTTTAAAACTAGGGCTGAACTATCACTATAATTTTAGTGATCTTTTTTAAAAAACTAAAGCAGTTTGACTATCCGCGTTGTCAAACTGGTTCCAGGAAGAGGTGGTGTGGCTGCAGATTTTAAAGAGCGACTAAACACCAAATCAATTTTTTTCAACTCATAAACTGCATACATATGTTAATTGTAGTGCTCTCTACATATCCTGGTCATTTTTTTGACATTTGTGTTGAAATTAGATAAAATCTCAGTTTTGAGCCAAAAAACCTCTGTGTGGCGCCCTCTCTACCTTTTCGGTGGTACTACATTTGAATTTGGTCCTGGCCTCTCCATTGACTCTGTAATACTGTGTGACGTCAGTTAGTATGTTTGACGTGCGTCTGTCTGCGCCAGTGATATAAACCCATTCAACTCTCACACACTAACCCCAGTAGCAGGTTGGAGTATTCTGGCGACATCTAGTGGTTTAAAATGAAATTACATGAGTAATTTTGAGATAATAGTGTGGATTAGATTCAGGTGTGTAGCTTCACAATTATCTTAGTATGTAAACAAGGGTGGAATGAGACTTTCTGTTCTGTAAACTATTGCTTTAAGCAGCAATGATAACTGTCTGTTTTTTTGTGTGACAAGTGAGCTGTCAATCACAGCCCAGACCACGCCCAACTCTAAGCCCCCCTTCTTGTCCCTTGGTCCTCCAGGCAACGCCCTTTTAAGAGAACATTTTCAAATCTTCATGTGGGCGGAGTCAGGCTGGGCACAGGTGTTTAGTTGCTCTTTAATTCAAACTTGAGCAGGAGCACACAGACTTCACCCGTTTCCTCAGATTTCCAGGACTGGATTCACTCATGGAAATGGGTGGAGTTTGGTGTGCTCCAGCTCAGGTTAGAACTAAAGCCATCAGCAACAAATTTGCCTGTGAAAGGAGCAAGTTAGTTAATTTGCAAACCTTGATCTCTCAGTTTGTGAGAACATGTGAGTAACAATCTGCAGCATGTTTTGTTATTGTTACTGTATTGGAACTCATTTGCTCGAAAAGGGTCACACTGGATTTGAATTAAACTCGTATATATCTAACTTTTGAGAAATTGACTGAGTAAAGACCAAATTTTGAACATGGCACTTTTTTTGGTTTGAATTTGCTCATATTTGTTTGTTTATTTGTTAAGAAAATTGGAATGGAAGCTTAAATGTATTAATTTAATTTAATTTAATTTGGAAGGGAAGAAAAAAAATGCACTTCATCTTACAAATGTTATAATATTAATCGTCTGTATGAAAATGTATCTCATTCTGAATTGGTACAAAATGTGGTTAGAAACAAAATGTTGTGAGTGTATATAACTTACTGCTGGTTAGCTTTCAAAATAAACTCTTAAATACAAATAAACACAGTACAGTTAAATGTATAAGACATTACAACCTCCTTCTCCACAGTGAAATGTTTTCAACAAAAAAACAGCCACAGTCCAAACAGAACCAAATAATTTAAGGAATGTCGCTTTTCACTCCATCTTCTTTATAGTTTCACTTGTCGAACAATGCCAAAGTAAAAGTCATTTCAAATCATTACAGCACAAGTCATTTGTTTGAACAATGATTTCCTTTTTTGACATTTGTAATGAATTAGAATAAAACAGAATGCCATTCAAGAACTCAAGAAATGAGTTGTGGTTGATTATTGAGTAATAAACGTGTGTTTCTTCTGCTTCAGTCACCAAACCTCCCTCCTGCATGTGTTAGTGGTTGGTGATATCACATGAGATCATTTGTTCGGATGTGTGTCTCTATCTTTAGACAACTCGACACGCAGCTACAGGCGTCCTTTAGCAGGCTGAAGCTAAATCAACCTTTATAGTGTGCATGACAGTTTACAGCAGGCATGTCCAAACAAAGGCCATCCATCCATCCATTTTCTTCCCCTTAATCCATTTCTGGGTCAGGGGGGTGGCAGTCAGAGCACCAGCCCCTCACTGATCCTCCTGCAGGTGGTGAGTCCACAGGAGCTGAGATCTTACAGTGGGAGCTTCAGACAAAGTGGAGTTAAGTGTCTTGCCCAAGGACACAACGACAGCAGTCATCAGCGGGAGTCATGAGAAGTAGGTCTTGAGGTGGGCTCAAACCCACAACCTTCTGGCTCAAAACCAATGCTCTACCAACTGAGCCACTGTCGCCCTCCCAAACAAAGGCTTATGTGGCTCTCTGCCGCTAACACAAAGCTGCCATAGGGGCAATTCCATCCAGCCAACTCCAGCTATACTAATTTAGTCAAGCTGCGCCTTGTTGAAAAGAACCTTTTGGAGTTCGATTTTATTTGTATGTACTGACTTTTTTTTTTTAACATGTGAAAGTGTTGGCAGATCTAACTGCTGTTACTGCTGTGATGGTGACAAACTGATTGTGTCCAAACAATAATATTTCAGGCTTTATATGCGTTCTAAAATATACAGAATTATTGTATATGAATGAATGAAGTTTGTTTATTTAAGGGATAGCATGTAGTTACATTAAAAAGATGGCTACACCAAATTTAGCATCATGCTATTTTCCGTCCATAGTTCCCGCCAGAAGAACATGTTTTAAAAATGTTAAAATAGAGGAATAGAGGAAGTTCTCACCGGATGACATTGTACATTTAGTTTCTCAACATATTCCTTGTGTTACGTTGGAATAATTTAGGTAACGTCATGATTTACAAATGTCTAGTATAACCTGTCATACACACATCTTTAAAGTAAAGATGAAAGCGTTATTTGATGGAATTGGATTTAATACAGCTGTGCACACAACCTTGATAATTGAGTGTTTAGATAAAATATTACATGTATGACTAAACTCCTATTGATTGAACTTGTATACAAGTAAAAGAGTAATTAAAATTCTATGATATGCTAATTTGTATGTATGATCCAAGTGAATTTAAAATGCCATATTGTTGATGAAAGGCTGGCAGGTCCTCACTTACACACTTCTGAATCTCATCATCTCTGAATGATTTCACATCAAAACAAAAAAAATGTCCAAATAAAACAATCACACACAAATCTCGAAAAGTTTAGTTTCTCGGGGGCAGGTCTTGCAATGCCTTTGACAATCCGTACTCTTCAATCTACCGCAGTTTCTTTACAAGTATGAACACAACTTTGATTTAAGACATTTCCAAAAGCCATCAGTCCTGTCCAGCGTACTCCGTCGTCTGCTCTTCCGTTTTGAGGGCGTCCAGCTGGGCTATTCGTCGCAAACTCCCGCTCTCTATGTGGTTAAAGTCCGATGCGTCTTCACGGTGGTCCGTGCTGATGGTTTTGGTGGAGTGGATCTTTCCGATTTCTTCCAGAGCGCTGGCGAGAGAGTCCAAGTCTGCGTTGTCCTGGTGCCAAGCCTCCCATAGACTGAGGATGACTGCCGACGGGGACTGCTGTTTAGCGAAGTAACCCAGGTTTCTGCAAGAGAGACAGAGAGAGCAAGTCCAAAAGTCATCTGAAACTTGATGAGTTAGACGCAGATCTGAAGGTCTACAAAATTAAATACTTTCACTTGTTTTTAACAAATATATCTGAAGCAAAAGCAATATGAACTGTCCAATTACATGAAACGTAGTCCCTTAATCCTTCATTAATTTGGATGTGCATATTTAGCAATCATCAAAACTAGATCCAGACCATAGACTGTATATATTAACGGACGTAGTCACACCTTTCTCCATCGTTCTAACTAATGGGCCAATAATTGTGCTCTACTGGAGCTATCCAAAATGGCCGCGGGGGCTGGAAAATGTGAAAAAAACGCATCTGCGCATGCGTCAGCCGGCGCAAGCTCCATTCATTTGAACGAGTGACTTCAAAAATTCAATGCGACCACGAGAGTGGTCCAAAAAAATTCACCCCCCTCAGTATTGACACACATGTGGAACGGAACTTTGGGCCAAGAGCCAACTTTTGGACTATCCAGTAAAGACGTTTTTGAGAGGTAAGAAGATGCTATATGTTAGCATTGGCTAATTGTTATTCCGGGTCCACTCCCATCGGCCCGGGGTGGTATTGCAAGCATGTCAGCGCACGTCAATTTGGCCACTTTTGAGCCGGGACCCGCCCCCACTGATCCAGACACTATTGCAGCAGCAGCTGACCGAGGACACACACTTGCCACTGGTCCTTAGGGAAAGAGAGTTGATGAATTACCAGCCAGTTATACATAGTCCATCTCCATGCTCTGGAGCTGAGGCAAAAACATTCAGCAAAGCGGCTCTGGCTTGCACTGTCTTCCGCTGGTTTTGAGAGCACCTCCAGGTTGTCAAGGCAGCAGAGATGCCCAGACCCTATCCAGCTCATTCAAGGAGAACCTGAAGTGACTGAAACGGCAACATCCAGAGACTTAGGATGTCAGGATAGATATCATACACTCCTGAAGCTTTAGTTGTCATATCCCTATCCAGAGATTGTGGCAACGAGCTAGCCCCCCTATCACCCTAGTTAAGGGTCCAACATCTCTGGAGCAGTGGGGTTCCAGTATCTCTCAGACTCCTCCCCTGGTGCTATCAAGGCACCTGATTTGCACCACTCAGTCCTCATTTAAACTCCCCTCTAGAGAAATAGGGCCTTAAATCTCATTATTTACTATTAGTCTACATTAATTTCATGAATATTGTGTAAGTAAGTAAGTAAGTAATCTTTATTTATATAGCACATTTGACAGACCAGAGTCACAAAGCGTTTTACAATTGTGGGCATTTTTTGTCTCACTCCACACAGAGATGGAAGCGAGGTCGCCGAACAGGAGGCACATGCCAGACCTATTGTATATATTTTTAGTGGTAGGGGAAACCGAAGCACCCGGAGGAAACCTATGTTGTATGTGCCACGTGTCATATAAAGAAGCACAGAAGGATTATTAGTGTCTAAAACATACTACAGCTGCATAATTGGAACACTATAAATGGTCTGTTTGCTTCCATTACTTTATCAGCAGTACTGATAGATGTCCACTGGAGGGAACTCTAGTACTGCGTGTGAACTTGAAAATGGGATCAGGTAAAATATGATTTTGAGGCTGTTTCTAGAAGCTACGGAATGACAGGAATGAACACCACACAGAAGCATGAAAGCTGGTCAAATGCTGGCTGAATGATGAAAATATGACTATCGAATTGGTCTACTATACCAGTGTTCCCCAACCTTTTTAAGCCGTGGCGCATCTTTGTCATGGCATAAGATCATATGGCACACCACCAACTGAATGTGATACAAAATTTAAACTCTACGGCCTTTATTATCAATGTATTTTTTATAAAAAATCAAACAAGCACAAAAAATCTTTCTAATCATCTCACATTATTTTATTTTTCACATGATTTTGACCAAGCAGCTGATAATGGATCATTTCCAATATCATCTCAAGGCACACAAACATGCCACGGCACACTGGTTGAAAAACACAGTACTATACCAATCTGATGCTTTTGAATGAATACTAGCACAATGTTGATCATGCACTTAAACAGTGTGGTTTTGCCTATGGCTTTCTGAATGCACCACTGTTACATTGTGAATCAACTATTTCTAGCTTAAACCTGTCTCCAGCATGGACAAGGGGCCACGTGCAGCACTGAATTTTGAATTCACATGAGCTGTACAGGACATTTCCCCATTGACCTCAGTGTTAACTAAAATGGCTTGTCCTCAACTGACAGGGAACCTACAGCTTTTACACAGGTTGGGTTTTGTGGGGATTTTTGAAATCCATTAGTTACAATTAGTTAGTTAAAATGACATAAACTAAAATTACAGTATGTGCCACAAACTCGGCTAGCTCTCGTCCCTCATAGCTCCGCTCTGATCAGCAGCTCTCTGATTGGTCAGTACGCTCACATGTCCCACTGTGCATGAGCATAAGAGCATTGATAGGTTAGAATGAGCACGTGGTACTCTGGTCCTGCAGAAGTAGAACCACTGTGCACCTACTGCGCAAGACCAGGATGTGTTGGACATCAAGTTCAGGCCATTGAGTTCAATGGGCAGACATCTTGGAGACCCGGGGCTTATCTATACTGTATACGCTCTATGATTTGTTTTTTCAGACAGTTCGCCCCAAGTGGTCGGTGGCTGCCCGCCCCCTTGGTGGTCTGGGGCTCACTCACCTCTCCAGGTGCAGCTTGTGGGCCAGGAGTTGCCAGTCGTTACCCTTGGCGTTGGCAGTGTCGAAGGTAGCGCAGATCCTGTGGTGGATGGAGGGGGGGATTCTGAAGGCTCGGGGGCCGCTCTGCGTCGTCACTGTGCAGTCTGACTGTGTGAAGAACGGCAGCGGCTCTTTCTCACACTGCAACAAAACAAACAATTATGACCCCTATTTTAACACGGGTAAAGAGATTCATGTTTAGTCAAACTATTTTTACGCTGTTCTTGGGGCTCACTTGGCAGAGCATTGGTCTTTGAACCTAATGGTTGTTGTGGGTTTGATCCCCCCTGACTCATGTCATCTACTCCTATTGAAATTTGCTGTCATTGTGTCCCTAAGCAAGACACTTTACCCCACTTTGGCTGAAGCTCCAGCTGAAAGGCTGTGGACCCACCACCTGCATTAGGATCAGTTGGACTAATCCAGAGGGTGAAAATGATTGAATGAAGAAATAATTATAATCCACAGGTGTCGTTGACTCTCTTTATATAGCAGACTCTTATTAGGTCTTCAACTAAGAGTGGCACAAAATGTAGAATAAAAAGCTGTACACCAACATCTATCAAGATCCTAAAAATTATCTTAAAGGAGAGAGAATTGTACACTGTATGTTTGTGCTTTAAAATTTTTTTAGATACATCAGCCAACGTCATTATGCAAAAATTATGACGTAATTAATACCATGAAAACCTGACACTCCGGGACAACTTCCCGACGCAAATTGCATGAATAATCTTTATGTCCTTAAGATCCATATATCCATGGATGCAAGTTGATGAAGATTGAATTAAGAGATAACACATCTTAGATTCAGAGTCCGTAGCAGCATGCCAAAATTACACTGTATTCTGAAAACCATTGGGATAATCCTGTGGGTTGTGCAGTGTTACAGAAAGCCATTTTTTAGTTTGCAAAATGGCTGGCCACTCTCCACAGCCAATAACCTGCTTGTATCTGAGAATACTGTTTACAGGCTGTGACCATTCCTCTCAATATATATTTGTGGAAGAGCGCTTCAGCCACATCGCTGAGTACAGCCGATAAGTATGAAGATAATGTGGGCGCGGAGCTCAGAGAAGGGGCTGAAGGCGGAAGTGGAATACAAGACATGGAAATGCACTGCAGAAAGAAATGCATCTGGAGCTACAGGTCAATCATCAATAGTTATGGTGATCAGAATCCTATTATACGTCTTTGGTGAAATGAAAATAAATACATGTCAAGTCTGACTGCAACCTGTACAACATTTAATGTTAACAAAGCATAGGAATACAGAGTCTATCTGGTGGTGAGGGTGGTGTGTGCTAAATCTAGCATTATTTCTGGTTGATCTTTTGAGCCAATCTCTGGCAGTTAGAGTATTTAGTACCAGCCCGGCCTGGATAGAACCACGGCCAGGTACGAAAACAGTACCTGGTTGTGGTTAAACAGGGTCGGTGGAAACACTCCATATCAGGGTGGAGTAGAGCCAAGTAGAGTAGAGTAGGGCCAAGTAGGGCTGGTGGAAATGGGGCTTATGACAGACACAGTCCTTTCAGCTTTCAGTGGTCCTAATGTTATGGCTGACGGTGCACAGAAGCTGTGAGAGGAGGCAGATGACGGCTCATAGCCCACGTGTCCAGGCCGTTATCACCACTTTGCACAGCATGTGTACACAACAGCTAAGACCTCTGAGCCGTTACATCATGTTTGTCTTTAAAACACACTCTCCATTTGACGCAGAGAAAATAAGTGGATTGAAGACTTGATTAGATAGTTACTAACGGCTCACTCTTCATGCTTTTGTCTGTGATTGACTGTGATTATGAAATTCCATGATTACTGTGTAGATTGAAATTAGGACTAAAAAGTGCTCAACCCGATCCACCCAATTGGGTTCCGTTATTTTTTTGTTCTCCAAGTTGGCAACCCTAGTAATATATATATATTAATATATGGTTTTAACTGGAACGAGTGAAAAAGACTTTCTCTTAACATAGTAAGTAAGTCATCTTTATTTATATAAAGATGACTTTATATAAGTAAGTCATATAAAGTAAGATGACTTACTTTATATAAATGACTTACTTTATATAAATAAATAAAGTAAGTCATCTTTATTTATATAAAGATGACTTGCACTCCTTTTAGCAGCTCTATACCTTATACTAAATCTTTTTGTCTTTATTTTGTAATTTGTTTTGTAGTTACAGCTGCGTGAAGCTCTGGCACAGTAGAGGAAAGAGCCTTTTTCAACTTTCGGTGTGTTTTGTGATCTGGATTGTGCCCGAGCGTGCCTATTGTCCTGTACTCCAGGGAGAGACTACTAGTGCTGTGTGGCCCTGTCACAACGTGCAGACACAACATGCAGCTTTAGTTTCGGTTTCCATTTTCACAGCTACTGTTAAATTCAGAATTGTGTTGGTGAACTTTTTCAAGTCAAGGCCCGATGAGGATGTTGTTGAGGAAGTGATTATACTGCTGGGGGGCTGGGGGTCGCGTTGTAAAGTTCCACTGCCCACAACTGGCCGGGGTTAGAACTACATTGTTTTTAGTGGTTGTCTAAACGTTGTGCAGGAGCCTGGTTGTTTTTGTAAATTGCTTTGCAGTCTCCATCTAAAAGGGCTTCTGTCACTTTGTTTCTACCACGGCCCCCCCAGGCCTTTCAGAAACACATACCCCCCACCACTGAGCCCGCATCAGCTCAAAGCTCTTCCACTCATGCGCGGATGTGGAGTGATGGAGCACGTCTTCAACCCGAGTCTCAGGTAGTCTCAGGTTGGTACCACAGCTTTGGTAGACCTCCTGTGTGGCACCAGTGCCCAAGGCTACACAGGCCAAAGACCACAGTGACTTCAGGCCGGTGACTTTGACATCCCACTGCATGAAAACACTGGAGAGACTGGTCCTGGGACATCTCCGCTCCACTCTGACCTCAGCGATGGATCAGCTGCAGTTTGCGTAACGACCAGGCATTGGAGGGGAGGACGCCATCATCACCCTCCTCCACCACTCGCTGACCCACCTGAAGGCTCTGTAGGAGAATTCTGTTCATCTACTTTTTGTGGTTCCTTTGGAGGGACAAGGTTAGATGTAATACCTTTAACATGTTTTGGCTGCAGAGCTGCAAGCCATCTACAACTGTCACCCGCCTTGATGACGTGTCATTTATAAATTGATGATACTTCCTGAGTAGGCGTGGGCCAACCTGATTGACCTGGCTGGTCGCTCAGACTGACCTTTCCCCCACTAGCCATGACTGTCACGCCCTGCAGGACAAGCTGTCTGCTCTGGAGAGCAGTTTCAGTGATAGACTTATAGGAGGATCTTGGAGTGACGTAGTTGTTTATAGTTTTTCCGCTCCGGTCACGTGGCTGTGTGGCACTACAGCATAGAGAGCTACCTGGATGCTAGAGAGTTAGCTATTTTTAGACGTTTGTAGAGAGGTTTTGCAACTACTTTCACTGCGGACTTGTTCACTCATTCATTCATGAATGATGATACATTTTAAACATTGCATTTTGGTTGCTCATCCCCGCGGCTTCCTGTTCCCCCTATACCATATGTAACAGCAAACAGGGGCAACCCGCTTTTAATGTGTGGCGAAATGCCAGGCCACTTTACTGCGGTGAAAAACGCGAGAAATGGATTTTCCCCACGGACCCCGCAAGTGTAAACAAAGATCCTCCTATTCACCCTCGATCCACAGGTCTTTGCTTACTGGTGTGGTCAGACTGTACAATGAGAACTGCTGAGCCTGTACATGTCACTCATGTTCAACCAGGTGCAATGTGCAATACTGCAACTTCAGAATGTCCACTGAATGTCACTTTATCTACTTGTAATCCCTGCCCTATGTATATAACTTTGCACTAATATAAATATACAGTATATTCGAGAGAATTACAGCTTAAAAATTAATCTATCGTAATCAATCACATTTCGAACCATTGTAAATGGTTGTTTGAATGGAAAGAGAAATGACAACATAGTATACATATGTACTGTATTTGTTTGTTATCCATCCATCCATCCATTTTCTTCCGCTTTATCCGTTGCCGGGTTGCGGGGGCAGCAGTCTAAGCAGAGACGCCCAGACTTCCCTATCCACACACACTTCCTCCAGCTCGTCCGGGGGGACCCCAAGGCGTTCCAAGGCCAGCTGGGAGACATGGTCCCTCCAGCGTGTCCTAGGTCTTCCCCGGGGCCTCCTCCTAGTGGGACGTGCCCAGAACACCTCCCCAGGGAGGCGTCCAGGAGACATCCGGAACAGATGCCCGAGCCACCTCAACTGGTTCCTCTCGACGTGGAGAAGCAGCGGCTCTAGTCCGAGCTCCTCCCTTGTGACTGAGCTCCTCACCCTATCTCTAAGGGAGCGCCCAGCCACTCTGCGGAAGAAGCTCATTTCGACCGCTTGTATCCGCGATCTCGTTCTTTCGGTCATTACCCAAAGCTCATGACCATAGGTGAGGGAGGGAACGAAGATTGACCAGTAAAATTGAGAGCTTTGCCTTTCGGCTCAGCTCCCTCTTCACCACAACGGTCCGATACAGCGACCGCATCACTGCGCACGCTGCACCGATCCGCCTGTCAATCTCACGCTCCATCCTTCCCTCACTCGTGAACAAGACACCGAGATACTTGAACTCCTCCACTTGAGGAAGGACTTCTCCACCCACCTGTAGAGGGCAAGGCACCTTTTTCCGGTCGAGCACCATGGCCTCGGATTTGAAGGTGCTGATTCTCATCCCAGCCGCTTCACACTCGGCTGCAAACCGCCCAGTGCATGCTGCAGGTCCTGGTTCGTTGGAGCCAACAGGACAACATCGTCTGCAAACGAGATGAAATCCTGTGGTCTCCGAACCGGACCCCCTCCGACCCCTAGAAATTCTGTCCATAAACACAGTGAACAGAACCGGTGACAAAGGGCAGCCCTGTCGGAGGCCAACATTCACTGGGAACAGGTCTGACTTACTGCATTTGTTTGTTATAACAACAATAAACCCACAAAAAAACGGCATTAACATTATTAACATTCTGTCTTTCTGTAGTAGACAGTATTTTTTCTAAGTTGTATTAAGAGTTGTTTCAAAACCCATAATTTAATTGAAAAATTGAGCTCATTGATTCAGCTGGTGTATGAATTCAGGCCATAAAAAGCA